ACATGGTTCCTGATTCGAACCACACCCCACCCCATTGGTGACTTTCGGTTACCCAATCCACTTATCCATACTTTTTAACCAATCCGTCACAGATTGATGGCCTTGAGCTTATTTACCCTTTGCCTTGACTGCAAACTTTCAAGCCGCATGATAGAAATTTATCGATCGAACGCAGTTCAGTATGCGTCTGCGTCAATAAGGATTGCAATGATTAGAAATGCGTGGGTGGTAACTTGATCCATTGCGTTTCTATCACTGCTACTTTTTTAATGTTGGATATTTTTTTTAATTGCAAGAAAGCAGTAATCCGGCTGATGAAAATTTACAGAACAAATCTATTTTTTTTTCTGAATGTGAGCTATGCTTTAAAGTTTATAAAACAACACCTTGCGGAATAAACTTTGCTCCCTTTCTTTTCCACGGGAGTATAAAATAGCAAAGTTTCACGATCAATGCCTGTCCTTTTTGGCCACCAATTTCCACATTAAGTTGAAAATTTTCATTACTCATTAGCCGAAGAATGTGGGCCTGAACCTTGCCCCAGTGTATTACTTATTCGATACTGAAAAATTGTCACATAGAAGCAAAGTATTTCAAATATTTGACATTCGAATTCGGTCAAAGTCTTTACTGAAATCTGAGCATACAAAGTTTTACAATCCCCATAAAATTTAAGTCTTAAACGTCAATTTATATTGAGTAAAAAATATCTGTAATGAACTGGCAATTCCATTGCAGTGCATTAGACACTAGTCATTCATTCACAATGTTCTGCCACAGACATTATGCTTATTGACAGCTGTCTATGTATTGCTGTCGCTACTGTTTTTGCTTCATAGATAATGTTTATATACTTTGCTTAGATTCAGCTCGCACCCTGTAGTTATTTTAGACCCGTCCATGCCGGTTGATGATACCGCTTACGCGAATTGTGTGCAACTTTCCGCCTGTAGAAGAAGCCGCACGAAGCTTCAAAGAGAGTCCGAATAAGGAAGGATTTAAAGAGCAAAATTGACTGTTTAGCTAAAATTTGAGATATCTTAGATTTAGTTTTCTTTTAGCTCTAGCGTCTAAGAGATTTGGAGAATCATCCTCCTCTCGAATAAGATTGATCAATTTATCTTGATTACTCATCACAAAATTATCTTGATTGGCATAATCTCGGGGCAAAAGCTATGGGAAACTTCCAAAAATTAAAATTTGAAACGACCCGAACTCAATTTCAGCGAAACTTACAGTCAAACTGAGCGTCTCAAAATACGGAACCAACTGACCACCCGAGATTCAACCCAATCACAGCCCAAATGAGTCGAAATCAAAAGGGTTCAAACTCTGTTGGAAGGATGTCCTAATCCACAATTTGAGTTACCAAAACGGTTCTCCTTTTGACAGCTTATACTCGAACGAACGGACCGACGAGTACCGAATCCAACGACCCAAGACATCGAATTCCACATCATTAAGGCC